CACTCGAAAACCTTTCCTTGTCAGTAAAATTGTCATAACTCAAGAAGAAAGCAATAAGAGAACGAATCATTATAGATTTTGCTCTACTCTCGGTAGACTCTACCTAATGATACAAGTCTGATTTCAAAAACTTTTTATTACCTCGAAGCGATCTCACGTTAGTAGTAATATGATCAAATGATGACAGGATACTTTATTTTACTAATGTTCTATAAAATAACACAGTAAAACAAATTCTCTCTCTACTAATAATATATTAATGATTATCGTTGAACACAAAGGTTTATGGCATTGATTCTGTTTGCCAACGAGATTTTTCATAGCAAAATAAATATTCATCAATACGAATATTCAGAGAAATAACTGTTTTAGAAAAATAACAAAGTGTTCATAGAGTAAGACAGAATTGTCATTGCATGTAAAATCCTATAAAAATAAAAGAAAATTGAATCAATTAAGTATTTTGATGTAGCAATCATACAGAAAGCTTCTTATCAATCAATTTCTCTTGTAAACATATTTATTCTCGAGAGTTGAACTCTAAAATCATTTTTCAAAGTCTTCAATTTAAGTGTTTATCTCGTTTTCAATTTTAATGTCTTTTTACATTTTTTTATAGAATCATCATAGATTCCTTCTGACTTTTGAGTATCTATTTACAAAAAATAAAAAACAAATATACAAAAATAAATATGTATGAGATCAAAGAATAATTAAATCATTAGTTGAAGGATCCAATACTTCTTCAGTTTCATTATCATCAATCGAGTTACTTCGAGATCTTTCAACATTTGGTGTACGTAAGGAAGACGTTAATGATCGAGATGGAATAACAATACAAGTCGCATCACCAGCATGTGGTGGTCCATTATTCGGTAAACGCAATGGTGCTGGTTCAACATCTGTTTCAGATAATGGCGGTAGATCTTCTTCAGATATTTTTCTTGTTATCAAAGCCAGACATCTAAATAAAAAAAAAAGATACCATTAGCGCAATCCTTATGAAATTAAAATGTAAAATACAATGTAGGTGTTGTTGTTCATCATAATGAGATTGTTTTATTCTAATCTATTTTAGGACACATTTCTTCATCATTCTTTTACTTAATCCTCTAGAAATGCAATAAGAAAGTAGTTGATTTATTATAACGAGATATTATTTATATACTATCTGTAACCGTATATCAACAGTAGAGATGTTATTTTACGGTAAATTCTAACTTCCAGGGAATTCAAATTTCTGCACATCATTATGCAATGAATAATACGAGCTCAAATTCATTTAGAGGAGTACAATTCCTCGTTTCGTGCTGGAAAATGCATTTTATTATGCAAAGTATATAGGAATGAAGTGTATATATTTGTAAGGAGGTCACGTTATTCATCTTATTACTCTATAATAGCGAACGACAGAGACCACCTTTTTTTCGGTCACGATCTCCGTCTCAGTTAAAATTGTTATTGCTTCTGATCCTGATTTCATTTCCGGAAAGAAAAACGATTTTTTAAATAATCTTTATGATTCTTTGAATACATATTGAAAGTAACATTGATGATTTTTAGGAAATTAACAGTACGAGCATACCTTTATATGCATGCATCAAAACTAAAATCACTTTCTTGATTCACTCAAACTTTTTCTTAGTTCTGGCTGTGTAATTTAGAAAATTCTCTCAGAGCTTACAATTCTTGCATAGATACAAAATTTAAATGAATGAGCTTCAATCGGTGTTCTCTCAAGAGTCATTTTGATAATGTCAAAATTTAGGATCTGTAGAACTATGAGTACTATTTTTAGTAGGGATTTTCAAGATGGTTCCAGTTCAGGATCGAAAAAAGTGATTTTGCAGATCCATTATCTTATCTCAATCATAAATAAAATGGGTCAATTAGTCAGAACAAAATAATAAGTATGAAAATATGTAGTCAATAGAAAATACAATAGGACCAGTTTTAATAAGTTTCAAGTTCCGATCTCGTTAAAATTAAAATTGGGTTCCGACGCGACCGAAACCACTTTGCAGTTTCCTACTCTATAAGAGTATAAGTGAAAGTATTGGTGTCAATGAGTCTCTTATCTTCACCAGTACTTAAATACATCTTTCCTAACCTTAAATATATACACTAGAGTACTGCACGAGTGCACTTTTTTCTATCCGAAACCAGACCGGAACTTTTTTTCCGTACCCGAGTCCGAACCGATCCGACAACTCCATACCCTGACCCGAATAGCTTCACCCGGTACTCGCTCCGGCTACCATTTTCACATATAACTAATTTCAAACTTTGTTTCATATAAAAAATATACAATCTACTTTAACAAATAAACAACAAAAGCACTCATCTGAAATTACATAAAAGGAAGTGAATCGAGTGATTCAGAACTCAATTTGTACGGACGTAAATCATAAGCACAAAATTTAGCACATGCTTCAGTAAATATACTCTTCATACCAGCTAATATATTACTATTATTATCTCTGTTCATCATTATGAGGATGTCTTGGTTTTCACTTGAACTAGGAGAACCACCATCAAAACAACTTTCTGCATATGCTTTATAAGTACTTAAACCAGTTTTAGATGATTCATAAGCAAAAATTGACAAACACTCAATACATTGTACAAATAGAATGATATTTTCTTTATCATCTTTTATCCGAACAAACGTGTTCCATCTCTGTGTTGTTGCTAATGCGGGTTTAGAACATGTGTTAAACATACGCTATTCAATATTTTTCTAACATTTTCTTTTTCTTTTTTATGAGTATTGATATTGATAATAACTATAAATCAAAACCAGTTAAAACATAATTTTGGGTACCTTGAATCTTGAAAAACAACAGAAGAAAAACTTTTTCTCATTTTTATGATTCTCTCTTTGGTAAAAATGATGATTCAATCGGCTTTAATTCTTATCCCAATATCTCCATAACAATAAATACCAATTTGAAATAGTAAAAATATTTTGAAAAGTTAGGATGTTACTAATTGTCGGCTCGGATCCAGGTTTGGGCTCACACTTGGACCCGAACCCATGCTTCGGTTTCGGGTACCCGGCCGGGTTGCAGTACTCTAATATACACTACATTTCTGTATTCATTTTATATTAAAATCAATTTTTCTTGAAGGATTTCTAAAAAATTATCTTGGCCACGGTAGAGTTTCAATCGCGATAAACATCTCCGACCTATATTTCAACACTCCTTTTAGATTGTGTTTCAGAAAATAATTTTTTTTTTGTTTTTGTTAAATATCAATCAAATACATACAAATTTAAAATTATTGGCATAATACAAAGTCCAGCACCAAGAAGTAAAGTTAAATTTCGATAATTAAGTACTGTACGTGCATAAACCCAAGTAAAAAATGTTGTACCAAATGTTGTCATAATTGTATTAATTTCAGTTACAAATGTAAATGCATTTGAACGTTCCGATGGTTCTAACCATTTTGTCATCATTGACATTGTTAATGAACCTTGATAACCTGAAAAAGCACTTATTAATAATCCAGCATATAATTCCCAATCATGACGTGCAAATGCTAACCACATAGATGATATTAAAAAAAATATATGACTTATTAAACAAATAATAGCATCATTTGCACCAGCATGTGTTAATGCTTGCATACCAAGTAAACTTAATATAGCATAAGATATAGCTGCTAATGCTGAATAATTTCCAATATTTTTTGATGTCCAACAAAATGGTGCATTAAGAAGAAACCATAGAAATGGTGCAAATGTTGATGATGCTAATGTATAAAAAATATTTGAAAATAATGTTAATAAAAGACTTATTGATTTTGTGGATGTTCGTCGTTTATTAAAATGAAATACTTTACAAACTTGAAAAAATTTATTACATGTATTTGTAGATAATTCTTTAAATTCATTTTCATTTATTGATATTAATAAAGGTATACGTTCATTTTGATTAGAATTTATTGATTTAAAAATAAAAATAACAATTAATATTGATATTAATTCTAATCCTAAACCTATCCAACATAAATCTGTAAAACCACGCCAATCTATATAATAACCAATAGCAAATGTTCCAATAGCTGATACACCTGTTTGTAATGCACCAAGACGTACAGAACGTGATGATAAATCATCTTCATTCGTAGTTTCAGTTATAATTAAAGTTAATACAAAACCTTAATACATAAATAAATAAAAAAAAATCTAGAAAAATAATTTCATATTTCTTTTTTTTTAATGCATACTTAGAATACCACTAGATCCTGATATACCTACAATAACAGCCGCTATATACCACCAATAATCTGGTAAATGAAAATAAATAATTGCTAACCATATAATAAATTGAATAAGTGTACCAATCATTGGTAATATAAGTACAAAACGTTGACCTAATTTTGGTGTATATAAACCAAGTATATATGTCATTATAATTAATGGACAACTACTACATAAATTTGTCCAAAAAAATAAATCAGCTGATTGTTCTTGTGCCCATGCTTGAGCATCACTATCAGGTGAAATATCACTTTCAATACATTGTTTTGTATCATCATTAAATTTTTTTAGAAAATTATATGTTGTCATGGAAGTAATTGTAGAAAAATTATATGTACTATTTGGTGGTATAGGATAGATATTAAGATAATATGCATATATATATTGTCCAATTATTGAAATTATACAAGTACATAATGTTTGAAGAGATAATATAGTTCCTATTGTATAAGCACATATATCTGTCATTATAGATCTGATTTCGAATGAAAATATTGTAAAAAATACTTGTTTTTATATGTCACATGCATATTAATTCAAAAATACCATTTTTCTTTTTTTTTTTGTTTGGAGAAATAGAAAAAGAAAAAGAAAATACATGCGACTGTCATATGCTTAACACGAGAAGAATAACAAAAAAAAAAACGAAAGAAAAGCAAAGGATCGTTATTCAACCAATAATTTTTATTCGTTGTCCTTCCTATCATTATTTTGTCACTACTAGACAATACTATCTAGTAGTATGAACAGATATTACTAAAGCAGTAGTACATATTTGTAGAAATGTAAAAGAAAAAAATGCAATAAGAACAATTTTTAATTGTTTAGCCGATTGTTGACATCGAAATGATTGAAAAAAATATGTATCATAACAAAAATCTGATGCAAGACTGAGAGATGAAAGTACTAATGAAGCTATTATAATAAGAAATATAGTTATATGAATAAATTTAAAACGTTGTAAAGAACATGTTTGTTTTTTAGGATGACTCATAAATAAAATAAGATAAATTCCTAATCCAAAACATAAAACACCTGACCAAAAACCAGTAAATGAATATGATTCATTCATACTAATTAAAAGAATATCACAAACAATACATGCTAAACTAATAATCATATGAAGAATACCATTTATAAGTAAATATCGTTGAAATTTTGATGATAAAACAATAGATACATGAGATAATGATGATCTTTCTTGATATTCATTTCGTATATCAGGTATAATATAAATAGATGGTGGTGGATTTACTGAATAAGCTGGTGGTGGTCCATAGAAATCATCATCAGACATTGACCAATTGGTAGTCATTATATTTATTTAATATATTCTAGAAATCAAATAGTAACTGAGTGTAACGATGCAATAAAATGCAGCAAAAAATTTACATCAAGTTCATTATACAAGAGAGAGAGAGAATGCGTGTAATATAGAAGTGTGAGACAAGGAGAAACGCAAAAAAAAAAAGGAAGGTCAAATAATTGAAGGTTATCGTGTAATATGTATGATTTGAGCACACCAAAAGGATCATTATGATGAAAATATATACATGGTTTAAGGACAAAAGTTTATTAACCAATCATATAGTATAAATATCAAATTGAATATATATATTTTCAGGCAAGTTTTGTATATACAATAGTTTATTGATATTCATATCAGACTTTTGAACTATAATAAAATCAATAGTTTCAAAGGTTTAGATTAATACATAACATTTATTTTTTGATTATCGAACTCTTAAGATTGTCTGTTTTATTTTTGATATATATACGTATATATACTGGTTTAATCTAATTATGAATTAAGATTATTTAATTGACATTAATTAGGAATGGTATAAATCAAAACTGAATGCAGAGAGGGAAGAAAGTGCTGTGTAAAGAATTTCAGAAACAGAGAGCTGTCTCATGCCATAACTTATGTCTCTGTTTATTAATGTAGAGTTCTCAATAATATTCAATTGATCAGAGTCATTTTGTACTACTGATTAACAAGACTTTTCTGAATTAAAATACGTTTAATTTCTATTGGAAAAAAAAATATTTAGAACTTTTAATTTAAAATTCTTTGTTAGACAATATCGTATGTTATAAATAGAGATTGATGTCGTCCTTGACTATAGACTTTTTTAATAATTTAGCAATTGAATGCTTATGTGTGAATAATATTTTTATAGGTCTGAATTATATAACATAATATCCTTTTACTTTTGTTGATAAGTAGTACTAAAATATATTTTTAAATTTCAATATTTAATCATTAGAAAATGAAGAAAAAATATATAAATATGAAATTTTATATGAATATTCTTTTTATTTCATAAATAAAAGATCAATATGTAAATACTACTATTATGAAATCTATTCAATTGATTCATCAATGTTTAAATAAATATTTCATTTTGATTCTTTTATATATATATATATGAAATATACGGATATAACTATTATAGGAAACCTTTCTAATATAAAGAAAAAAAAAGTATTAAGCTTAATTAAAATCCTTATAAATGATGGATCCTACTTCATGAATATTAAGTTTAAGATCATTATGCAATTAATATGTTTGTTTAATATATGTCTAGACATTAGCAATGAGTAGGAGGATCGATAATAATTATTATTTGATTGAATAAATCAACCTTGATATTGAAATTCTTTCATGTTATAATAAGAAGAACAATTAGTAACAATATTCAATGAAAGGTAAACGTGATTGTACTAACCATTAGTAGAAAATGGATTGATCAACAGAACGATTGAAAAGATGAAAGATTTTTTATGTGATGAAGGAACCTCTCCAGGTATCAAACTACTTTCGATCGAGACGATGTCTATTTGATAATTCTAGATTTTTCTGTTACCCATCAAATGAACATTGTTTCGATCAAAAAGAGATTTGACATCTGGAGAGATTTCCTCGTGAGTAACATATCCTATGATATTCTAATCCTTCTATTACCATCAGAGTTTAGTACAGAATCATTATTGAAAGTAAAATAGATGACGAGTGTGACAGTACCGATTGTTAATGGGACATTATTACAACTTTGAAAAGTATCATTAGACATTCTAACTTTGAAGAGATAGAGTTCAAATTCTATGGGATATACATATTAACTAATTAAACTACGATATTCATATATATTTGATCCGAAAAAATAAATAAATTCATTAATTGATACTCAATAACATCTTCTTTCAATAACGCCATTTATTTTATTTACTATAATTGACAATAATTTATTTATTAAGGTTATAAGTATTAATGAGAAAGATCAATGACTGACGAAATTTAATTTGTTCATCGTTTTTAATAATTAAGCCTAGAACATCATATTGCATGTTAATTATTTAATACAAATAATAACTATTTCCAATTAATAAATCAAGAGTATACAATAAATGTTACGTGCTATCCATAGAAAACGTTCCGGGAAAGAAAAGAGTCAGAAAAAGCCGAACAGTATTGGTGCATCAGAATTGGGCGAGTTGAGTCAATATATTTTTTTTATTTATTTTTACAAAAACCTAATCTTAAAGTTGTTTATAAGCAAACAAAATCTATTAACATTAAAATTATTGTCTTATTACATTTCAAAAATATTAAAATGTAACTATTCATTTGTAAAAAATTTCAATGATGCGGTTTCATTAACAGTAAGTAGGTATATAATAAAGAGAAACTAATTGTCGAAAAGGCGTATCCACTCTTTGGATGGAATTATTATTGTTACTGATGATCATTTTATAAACACCATTTATCAAATTATTGTATTCTATCTATTCCGAAATCCATTTCATCATCATCCTTTTTATTAATCTTCCAGAAATACAATAAGGAAGTAACAAGTGAAGCTGGGAGACGGAATGAAAAATAATATTTTGGTCAATTTTGTATTTCGATTGAAACCTATGAAATTCAAAATGCAAAACAATTTTTAATCATTCAATTTTGTAGAATAAAGTTTGCTCTACAAAACTATGCTATTTAATCTTGCATGATAGATTTCAAACAAAGACTTTTGTTCGATGCCGATTTTCATAGAAACTAACTCTTTAGTGCAGAATACATAGATGAAACTTCACTTATGTTAAAAATCTAATTCAGTTATGTATATAGAAAAAAAAAAAGTCAAGATATATTTTCTTTATAAATAATCACACTGTATACAAAAAGAAAACAAAAGACTACAATCGAACAGAACGAATAACACGTGATGAAAATCGTCCTCGATCAGTATCATTGAAAGGTGTTAATGTTGAATGAATCTGTGGTAATACAAGTGTGATAGGAAGTATATCCGATATAATTGTATGATGAAGAACAAGTGTACTTAAATTATCAAATGTTTTTGAAGAACCCTAAAATATAAAAAAATCAAAAAGAAAAATTTTATTAAATTTTTTTTTTTTCAAAATCAACCTTTAATCGATAACCATTATTATCAATTGTTCGTTCAATAAGATAATGTTCAATTGATGATAAATTTGTTTTTATTGATATAACAAATGGATATTCTAGATAAGTATAACTATGTCGAATAATAAATGAACCAATTGGTTTAGTATTATCATTTAAATATTCTTCACATATATGTCGTGGTAAACCTTCTTGATACCAAGCAGCAGCTGTTAATAATTCTTGATCATTATTAATATATATTTGTTCTGGTTCATCAACAGACATTGATATAATAGATTGAGAATCTGATTGAATTTGTTCATTAATTTTTAAACGTAATTTATCAATTTGTTCATCTAAATTCCATACACTTTCATAAATTTCTGTTTCATGTTGAGTATTTATATCTGTTTTAGATGATGATGATATTAATGATGCTAAACTTTTATGTTTAGATAATTTTTCTTTAAAATATTTTGCTAGACCATTACGACGATTTGATGATGAATGATCTGTTTGAGATAAACTTAAACGTGAACCATAACCGGATGATGTCGATAATGATATAGATGATGATGATGTATTACAATCAAACCGAAATGAATCGGTTGTATGAAAACCGTCTATATGTTGCATATACAATCTAGAATATATATATATATTTATACATATTAAAAAGTAAACTAACCTTGTTCAAAATATATTCAATGTTTAGTATACTAATCAATAGATAAAAACTGATTAAAAAACAAAAAGCTGCCTCTTTTTATATGTTCGAGAGCATCTGTTTAATCAAAATAGTTTGTCACCAATGTATAAACCGCAAAGAAAAAAAGAGAATGATAATTCAATTGAACTCCAACTGTTATTATCAGAAGAAGAGAATCGTTTCCATTCTCTTTCTCTCTCTTTCTCGATTTTTCTTTCCTATCATGAAAAGAAGAAAAGACATCATTCTAATACATAGGCTCAAATAAGATAGAACAAAAAAAAAAAAGGTTCATCAAATGGTTCGATTGTCTTTTTCTATACACACGCATGCGTATATATATATATACACATTGATTGATCGATCGATCGTGTCATGCTTGAAAGAATGTCTTTCATTCTTTTGCCCTTGATTTTCTTTTTTTCTCAGTAATGGTCGATTGATATATGATAAGCAGATAGAACCTTGCATGTATACGAAAAAAAAAAGATCGATAGACATCTGTTCATTTTTCGAAAGCGTTTTAGCTAACAAAGAGAATTTAAAAAAAAGAAGAGATTCTCTTTGTACTATTGTTTTTATTCAAAAACTTAAGTCAATACAGGAAATATATAGACAGACGTGCCTAGAGCAATTATTGATGTATTTTTCCACTTGTCTGATTCCATCTTATTTTCTTTTGGTCGTTTTAATGAGTTCTGTTCTAATGTTGACCGACATTGAGATAGAAAGAAAAATATAAAAAAAAAAACCTGTTCATGTCGACGGAACTGGGCGGACAGATTGTTATTTTGAAAAATCAAATGATGACAATTTGCGTGTATATATCGAATCGATTGAAGATGAAGAGCGGAAGCCATGACACATGCACATCATTAGATGAGTCAAATGATGGCTATCAAACATCCGTTTATTTGTTAGTTATATTGTGTGATTCATCATTTTTTTTTAATGTATCGACAGGAAATCAATTGTGATCAAGTTTGAACTAAACATTTCATTTGATATTTTTTTTTTGACTAAATTTTATTTAACTTTGTAATAAAAGTTTCTTTCTTTTTTTTGAGCAAATCTTAATTTGTGTATTGCTCTGCTTTCAAATTCGAATTGAAATAGATGAAGTGATACTTTTTCATGAAGTTTGAATAAAATTTTCTTATCAATACCGAACTTTTTAAATAACAATGATAACAGCAAGTGTGTCGATAATTTTTACACAAAATATTTCTTCATTTTTCGTACAATTAAATTTTTATGAGGTTCATAGATCGAAAGCTATGATCAAATCTTTAGAAAGCCTGAAAAAAAAATTTTGGACAGAGTTGATTTTACTAACTGATCCTGGGACGGAGAGTACAACTGTTCACTTTCTTTTTCTTGACTGCATCCTGTTTTGAATTTTTTGGATCAACATCTGAATAATAGACTTCTTTCTTAGTCAAGTGTTAAACACTTTCTGTTGACCCTCTTAATCGGTAGAAAAATGAAGGCACTTTTTATCTGAAAGCTTTTGACGTGCCTGTTAAAAATGAACTTTTGAAAACCTTCATTAAGATATTTATTTAAAATTGAAGATCATAGCGAGAGGTGTCCAAGGACTGAGAAATAGGAATTACTTCTCAATTCTTCCACAGTTCCATGACTGTTGAAATAAAAAAAATAAACAATACCCACGATAATGAAACTGTAAGGAAAATAATAGTCAGTTCTTGTTTATTCGAGGATTTATCATAGCTCCATTGAGAGTTCCTTCACAACTTAGGAATTTCTATTTCTCAGTTCTTGGACATTGGTGATAATGATAAGAATTGTTTATTTGTTTATCCTCTCAAATTTATGTAGTTGTCCTATACATGCATACAAGTAGTCGAACTAATGAGAACCATTTTCGTATTTCTCAAGTTCCATGATATGAAAAAAAGATAGAAGCATTTCTTTGTCGTCAACGATCAACCCGTAATTCTCCATAGTATTTTCTATATGAATCCATAATCTAGATCGTTGTGTACAACTTTTGGAAGCTTTCTTTTCAAATGAATCCATGTTTCGAGTCGCACGGAATGAACTACTTGTTGTGTCAGATGTTAGCGGCTGTTTATTTCTTCGTTCAAACAATACACATTAATCGGAAAAAAAGGTGAAGGACAAACTTTTTACAAGAATTATAGAATATAGTAGATATTTTTTTTCTCAAAAAAAAAATGACATCATTACTTTTATAATTTGTATTGACAATTTCCATAGAGCAATATCTTGATAACCTGCTGCTGATCCGATGAAGAAATACTCATCGTATTCATTTATGAAAGATAAAATATTTTTATTCTTTTTTGTAGTTGCACAAATTATAAAATACAAATTACAATAAATAGATATTCAGATACTTTTTTTTTGACTATCTGTATGTGCCTATCTAATAAACAATATATAAATATCACGAAAATATTTTCTCTGATTCCTTTGTTTCATTAGCAGTTATGAACAGTTTTTTTTTTCATCAATTCGTCTACGTGTAATAAGAAGCATTTTTTATTATTTGTCTGAGTGGTAGTATTTAGAACAACAAGTTTTATTTATGTGAACAAGTTTCATAGTCAGTCTGTTTTTTTATGTCGATCAATTATAATTTGTTCTGGCTACTATGGTAAAAGAAAGAATATATCAAGCAACAAAATTATTTAAATAAAAAATTTCAGTAACATATATACAGGAAGTCTCAAAAGCCCTTGAGGAAATTTTACGTAAATATCTTTTATACAATTCGAGCGATTTAATTGCTTTTTTGACAATATGATATTATATTCTTTAAAGTTTTATTTCATATAATTTAGTTTACAGTAAATGTTCAAGACGATTTTATCATCAATTGAAATATATTAAACCAATTTTTTCAAAGTCTATAAAAACAAAGTACTGCAGAAAGGTGATTTTTCAATAAACTTATTCTCGTTATCGATTTTTATTTTGAATTCAACCAAATCTCTATATATGTCTCATACACTTTATATTTATCAATAAATCATTTAAATGAAAAGAAATTTCATCTGACGAAAATAACCAATTCGTCTGATTGTTGATATTTTTTAACATTGATTTCATTAGAAGATATTCAGTTATAATTCGGCCTACTATTGTTCGTAGAATGAAGCAAACAGTTACAGCGATCCGAACACTCGATATTAGCACATTTTCACAAGCATCATGAATTTCAGCGACTTTTTCTGTAATTTTGAAAGGTCTCTCAGATTATTATCTATTTACTACTATACTGATTTCACAAAAAAAACATCTCTAATACAGTCTATGACTGATTTATGTATGCCGAATTTCACTTGCATTTTTTCTTCGACTATGATAGAAGACTTAAATTTGGCCATTAATAAAACAATTTCTATCCTAATGTTTATAAACAACACAGATATTTGCCTAAAATTATATCGAACAAATATTCAAAGAATATACTATGAAATATTAAAGAGATATTTACATAAACTTTCTCCGTTAACTTTTAAGACATCCTGTAAGTAAAATATCTTCTATTTTTATTAAGTCTTAATTTGAGGTCAAATTATTTCCTTCAGGATAATGTATTTAGAACTAATAGAATATAATTACTAAGTGATAACAAGAAAATATTTTGTTGTAAAAAACTTAAATAACTCTTTTGAGACAAATCGATAAAATTATTATGTCATTCAAATGTAAAGTATAGCATTGACTATAACATTGAAGAAGTATTATTGCGTTACTTTTGACAAACATTATAAAACATATTTATTCACATGCTACGCTCTTTAGAATTCTTATTCTTTTTCTTTTTTGTCTAAATTGCTTTCAAATGTGACGACGTTATTCTATTTTATGGAAGAAAAAAAAGCTCTTTTTCTGATCTTCTCTTCTATTTCTAGGCGTTTTACACGACCTCACAATGGGTTTAATATTTTTTTTTTTAGAGGAACACTGTTGTTGTCAACACGGTGCTGCCGAATGTATGCATAGCGAACAACTTTTTTTTTTCTTTCTTGTCAAGAAGAAGTATATAAAGTCTGACTAGTCGATTCCGTTCCTTCTATTTTTTTTTTAATATAAAATATATCGGCTTGGTTTTTAGTTACAAGAAACATAAGAATGGCAAATACGTTAACGAGTGCTCAATGTCAAGAATTAAAAGATGCTTTTGATGTATTTGATACAGGTATAAAATATTATTATAAATAATAGTTATTTATTCTTTTTTTTTGAATAGATGGTTCAGGCAAAATATCACATCGAGAATTAGGTAATATATTCAAAGCATTAAATATTAGAACCAATGATAATCAATTAAAACAATTCGTCAATGAAATGGATACTAATGGAAGTGGTATGTATAAAACCAAAAAAAAAAAGTATGTTTTTTTTTGAATCGTAAGAAAAGATTTATTTTCATACAGGTCAAATTGAATTTGATGAATTTTGTCGAGTAATGGCTACAACATTTTTTAAAAAATATTCTCAAGATGAATTACGTGCTGCGTTTCGTCAATTTGATCAAGATGGTTCAGGTTATATACAAGCGCAAGAATTGGAACATATTATGCAAAAAATTGGTCGACGTTTTAATAAAGATGAAATTGATGCAATGGTTAAATCATTAGATCAAAGTGGTGATGGAAAAATAGGATTTGATGAATTTGTTCAATTATTTAAATAAGATTTTATAATATCTTTTTTTTATCATAAAATAAATGAACAATTATATTTCACCAAGAATTGATGAAGAGAATAATGAGTGTTAAATCATTGATTGTTAATAATCATAAAATTGTAGTTTATATGCTTTTTTTGTCTATGGAAAAATAAATTGATTTATCAATGAATTTCATCTAAATAATGAAAGATGTTGTGAAAAATAAAATCTATGTTTATTTCGAAGAGTATACACAAAACTTGTTTTAACAAATAAAGCCGATATTGTATTCAAAATAGGTGGAATATAACTTGTATCAAAATATGCTCGTATAAGAACGAATATTGCATATGATGTCCAAGCATCTTTACTAAAATGTGATCTCAAAGGATATGGATATGTGGATCGGGCTGTAGGCTTGAAGGTAACGCTGAGAATCTTCTAGAATCTTTTTTTGGTTCCGTTCCAATCAAAAAATGATAGAGATCTAGTAGGATGTGGTTGTTGGTGAGGATCTAAGAAGAGAAGATACGCACACCCACATCCACACCCAAAACTTCATTTAGCACGGTAGTGTCATGCGCGGAAATGTTGTGTTACATTTCAGCTTCCTTATTTTTCTGGAAAGAAAACAAAATATAAGAAAATGGATTAAATCGAGAATTCAAACTAAGACAAAATAAAAATGAAATTAACTGAATGCATCAATTAGAAAAATTAAAATAATCATTTGTTTGTCTCTTTGAATTACAGAATACGAGAAATAAATATCTATGAAATCCAATCAGTAAATGCTTCTAAATAGTGGTATATGAAGAGTATTTAATCAATGTTTAAAAAGGTAAATTCGATAGCACATTTGACAAATGTCATATAAAATGATTGAGTTTCGTCATTGAAGATTTTCTTTATTGTACAGGTGTTTATTGCAAAAGCATTTTGAATTAGATACTTAAAAGAACATTTGATAAAAATGTTCAATCATTTTGAGAACAATTCTAACAAATAATTACAAAAAAAAGATTAATTTATTATTCATTAATTAAACTCATTTGTATGAATATGATACAAACACAAAAAATAATAGATTATCATTTAATATCCTTCGATAAAATAAGAAATTCTATTTTTATTTGTTTTATTTTTATATACAATAAAATTTTAAAGGTTTACAATATAGACTCTCAGACTGTCAGTACTATTTCGATGAAGGCATTCATCTAATAATTGTAATGCAATATTTTCTAATATTGTTGTTGCTATATGACTACTTCTTCATTTATCATAACATTCCAAATACCATCATATGTAAAAAAAAACAAATGCTCCTAATGAATTTCTTGGATATTTAACAATATCTGCCGTAGGTGGTATTATATGTTTATCCATTTCAAAATCTCCTAACACATGTGTCATAGCTAATTGATTTTCTACACGTAAAACATCATCAGCACATGTTTCTGATATTTTTCCTACAGCTTCATGAATACGTTCTTGTTCAGCAGAGTCATTGAGTTTATGATCTAAATATATTCAATAAAAGAAACTAAGAAAAAGAAAAAGGATTACCTTCAGTATATGCCAAAATAAGTTCACCATTTGAAAAAATAATAGTACGTGAATCATCAATATTAATTAAATAAATTTGTTCTGGATCAATAAGATTTGTTATCTAAACATACATCTAAATTAATTTGATTTGCGTATGGTTTATACTAAATAAAGCAGAGTCTAGAAATTTAAATAAAGTTATATCATAATTTATTACCTTTGCAGTGTCATATAAATCCTAGAGAAGTGGTAACATAAGATCATAAACTTTTGCAGATAAAATTTTTTGTTTATCTATAAAATCTTCAACAATATTTCATAGTGGCATCAAATGATCTAATTTTAATTGTGCACCATAATTCGGTAATAATATCACAGTTCTCTTTGAATTCAGTTAAAACTAGATCAAGAAAAATTTTTTTTTTATTCTATCTGTTAAATCTAGATAGAGACGAACCTGTTTTAATTGTATTTCTTAAAATTTCAGGTTCTAACGAATGAAGAAAATATTTAACTAAAAATCTTGTTAATTGTTCATGATCAATAGGAACACCTGGTATTGTTTCATTAGTAGTTACCGGTTGAGTATCATCATGAGTCGAAAGACGTTTAATATAAGCTCTTTCTATAATAAATTTTTAAGAAAAATATTTATATAAAAGGACCTTATCAAAAATCATTAAGCTTTTCTCCACTCTGAGAACAATATGAATGGTCCTTGTAGAATTCCAGGTGTCGAAAAAATCGTATTGTCGTATTTTGATCTGAAACTTCGCGCATATAAAGATTTTAACTAGACTAACTTCCATAGAAAAATTCAAAAGTTTTGAACACAGTCTCTTCGGGATATGAAGCTTTCAAGATAATTATAAGTTCTTGTCCATAGGTACTCATATAGCATACATTTTTTGAAAGTTTCATATCTCAAAGAGACTATGTCCAAAACTTTTGAATTCTTTTTATGGAAGTTAGTCTAATCGAGATCTTTATATGCGCGAACTTTTAGATCAAAATTCGAAAATACGATTTTTCCGACACCTGGAAACCTAGAAGGATCTCTAAAAAATAGACATAGCATTTCTTAAGTTTTTGTCCACAAAAGGAATGAGATCTTAATAAACTAATTTCAAGGCAGTTTTATACTGTTAAGATTCGTTTCATTTTATAATGTTTCCAAAGTGGAGAAAAACTTGATCATTTTTGATCAGGTCTGTTTACTTGAAATTGTTTTTCATTCATATTTTTGTTCTCATTATTTGTAACATCATTGACATATACTCAATAATCTTTTTTTATAAATAATTAAAACTGAAGTCATATTTTCAATTGAAACAAATATTACCTCTTCAGTTATACTAGAGTTTGTTTTTTTTAATAATTTAAAACATGATAATGTATTTCCTGTGGGTGTGGGTGGGTGTGGATGTGGGTGGGTGTGGATGTGGGTGGGTGTGGATGTGGGTGTAGGTGTGAGTGCGAGGGTGTTGGGCGATGTAGGCATACAACGGCCAGTACCCACGCACTCACGCTTACACTCACACCAACCCACACTCATACCCACACCCCACACACACCCACACCCACATCCACACCCACACACCCACACCTCACACCCACACCCACACCCCACACCCCACACCCACCCACACCCACACCCCACACCCACCCATTGTCGTGATTCATTTTTATCAAAGGTGATGTTTCTGAGACCTCTCTCCCTGAAAATGTTCGAGATTTTTTAGAAATGATTATTTTCATTATTTGGCATTGAAAAATAGTCATGGAAAAAAAGTGAAAGATAACGCATTCATGAAAAGATAGAAATTGGCCTTTTGCTTGAAGATCCCGTTCCATAATTTAGGGAGCGCGTTCATAAACGAAAGAAAATGTTCTAAGTGTAAAGGAATGTATTCACTGCGTTCCACACTATTACCGAATGCTTTCTTCTCTGTTCAAAAACTGTTCTTCATCGAGACAGAAAATATTCTGAACTGTTCTATGAATCAACAGAATACATCTCTGTACGCTCTTTTTTTGAAAGATTAGAATAGAATTCCATCAAAATAAGATCGCACTCTTCGATGTTCTTTAAAGAAACACGCAAAAATGGATTCTTTAAACTGATAAACGTATTCCACACAATCCTAATATCACTCTTGGAAAGAAATAACGTATTCTTCGACGTTCTCTAAATTGTTGAACGCTTTAATCTGGATTCAGTGTCAATTTTGATTCCAAACTAACAAAACTGCGGTACAAGTCATTGAAAGTGGTGCCAATATGGGCACAACCTCCGATGAGTTGTATTTCCTGCCCTGCTGGCAATCCTAATTTCTAAAAAAATATTTCCAATAATAGTTTGAGCTCGAAAAATCGTTTCACACAGTTGAATACAGCACATTAAGTTGTAATTGAACAAATCTCTGAACGAGTCGCATATCAACTTCATTTACTTCTTTTCGAGGCTTCCTGTGCGTAATGTGAATCCAGATAATAATGGTTGAAGATGCATCCTATAGAAATGAATGTCCTTTTTTCAAAAAAAGCTTCAGAAACCATGAACTGCTTTTTTTGCCGTTATAGGTTGGAACGATAGAAAATAAGTTTCATAAAAGTGACTGCGTTTTTTTCTTAGAAAAATATATGAATTTTCACTGAACGTGTTCTTTGTCGTTTTCTCGAGTGGTTATACTTCACTTGATTCTCTACATTCTGAGAGTTTGAGTTAATTCATTTGAGAAATCAAATGTTCTCAAACTAACAGTCAACTGAAATAAATAACTAAGTTTCTTGTGGAATGATACTATTAACTTCCATTTATCACTCATCAATTAATACTTATTCTGAAGGTAGTTAGATAAATAAAATTTAGAATCAGGAATTCTTTTTTTCAATGTGCTATGAGAAACAATATTTAGTATGCTTGATTTATTCGGAAACTTTTCTGTGCAATGCAATAACATCTGCTTGGTATTGTTTATTTGCATCAAATCTATTACTAGTTTCGATCCGCTATCATCGTCTTGTTAGTATTATCCGTCAGAGCTTTCCATAGTTTCCATGACAGTGATACGAGTTGAAAAATTTCGTAGTGAGATTCTTATATTCTGATCACATGATCAGCCGATTGGACTATACCGAAAGAAAAAAAAAATACTTCAGTAAGTTGAAAATTTTATTGCATTTGAATATACTAATCGAAAAAAAATTTATACAAAGACGATCGATATGTTCATTTCTGCTATCAATTCTACTTCTATTGTTTTTTCATTAGATTTTCTGATAGAAATGACACATATTTTAAAAACAGATCAGATACATATTTGGACAAAAGAGAATTCGCGAAGATGTAACATAGCAAGTATGCATGAAGGTCAGCCTTTTCCTTCACATAATCATGGGATATATTAAAAAGAAAAACACCTTGAATTGTATCCGGACAATAATAACCACACATGTCTCTATTTATAGATTGTTACATATTGCTGTTTTGCAGCTTCTTATGTTCAACAAAAGGGATCTTTTGATGTCTGGTTCCATCTCATAAATACATAAGAAAGATTAGTTCTATCTCTTATATTATGCAACAGTTTCTGTAGTTTCTATTTAATTATCGAAACGATTAACTTATGAGGAAGAAAAATGTTTTATTGTCGTCATAATTTACCTCTAGATCTTTATCACCCTTTTCATAATGTAGTTCAAGTCGATTTGGATATAATTTTGTATAACGTATTTACTATGAAAATCCAAATGTTCCTGTATTCTTTTTCAATTGTCCTTGTAAAATCAAATCAGATGTTTTTTCATCATCATAAATAGTACACTCTAAAAAAAATCGGTTTTTTACCGAACCCCCAAAAAAGGTTCCGGAGATGTCTAAAAGCGTCCAAAGATGTCCAAAGTCTCAAAAAAAGGATAAAAAAATCTACGAAACCTTTAAAGGCTCTTACCGTGTACCCAGGATAAGAACCTTTTTGCTGCGAAACCTTTTTTTAAGTTCCGTACAGCAGAAAAAGGTTTAGTAGGAAAATACGAAACCTTTAGAGTTTCGTATTAAACTCTACGAAATCATGAAGGTTTACTATGAAACTATTAGGGTTTAGTACGAAACTATTAGGGTTTAATATGAAACTCTAAAGGTTTCGTATTTTCCTACGAAACCCTTTTCTGCTGTACGGAACTTAAAAAAAGGTTTCGCAGCAAAAAGGTTCTTATCCTGGGTACACGATAAGAGCCTTTAGAGGTTTCGTAGATTTTTTTATCCTTTTTTTGAGACTTTGGACATCTTTGGACGCTTTTAGACATCTCCGGAACCTTTTTTGGGGGTTCGGTAAAAAACCGATTTTTTTTAGAGTGTATTTTGTTTGAATTTGGCTCATCATTTTTGTTCAATTTTATCTGTTTCTTGATTAACTGTATCAAATACTGTTTCTAAAACAAACGATATATTTTCATACGATTCAAAATAAACAAATATCTCATTGATTTCTACCAGTTATTTCTTGTTACCATCGTTCAGAAATAACAATTGGAAAATTTTTATACAATTCTTGATCAGCTTTTGTTAGCTAATTAAATAAAAATAAATTTTGTTTTTGTTTCGTTCGAATATTTATATTTATTTGAATATCTTTTGTACCATCTTCATTAAAATTTCCAATATCAAAAGCATCAGTTGCATTCACTTCATCACGTAATGGAATTAATGGTGGAGTTAATTTCAATAAATAGACTTGTTTTCATTCGACGTTTTAAAACTATATATTTTGTTTTATATTATCGAAATGGACTATATCATTTTAATAATTTATATAACATACACCCGAACGTAAACAAATACAAAATTAATATCTTATCATTGATTTCGATTGATGAAGAATTGGTTTTATTCATATTATCTTTTTATTTCTTTCACTTCTATTACAAATTTTGTTTCATTGATAATTGGTCGCTTCATCTTTTTGATTGATATCTTCACCATATAATTGGTTGAAATTCAACATTTGCTACTAACAGTTCGTAGACAAACATGTTTCGAAGTGTTGATGTTATCTTCTGAGAATAATGAAAATCTAAAACAGATAGATGTTACAAAACTTTAGAGTAACTTTTTATTTCATTTTTCTTCTGAGTTTCATAAAAACATGAGGATCATGATGATTCATTGTTCGTTTAGTGTTTTTTCAGAATTAAGATTTTCTAATGGATCAGGTAGAAATATATGAACAAATGCTGGAGAAGAGTGTTCGGCAACATTAATGTCCATCGGATAAGCAAGTTGTAAATGACTAATAGCAGCTTTATTGAAACTTTCCGAGTTGAGAAGTTTGGACAAATGTGAACCATTGTTTGTTATTGTCATTGGACGATGAATTTGAGAAGCTAAAATCCACTCGACGTAGTGAGCGTAATAATGCGGTATACCATACTGTTGAATTACCGATGGAGGTATTCTTCCAATTGGTTGTACAAGAGCATAGTGCGTCCACTTTCGTTCTTTGTAGTTATATTCAACATATGTTGAGTAATCTGTTGGTGCATGTATATGTAAATCGAAATGAGCAGCACGAAACATCTCGTCATTCGATAAACCTATGATGATTAGAGATAGGATGAGATAGAGAAATTTATAAATTCGTTTGACTACCATTTATATCAATTGCCAGCCCATGATGTGAGTATTTTCCCACCTCGTCTGATGTAATATCACTTGGAGCATGATGTAGAACATAATATGCTAAACCAATTTTGTTTGCATCACCAAATTGATCTGGACAAATCTTGCGGCCAGTACCAGGTTCTATTTTGTCTAGTTTATTTCCCATTAACGGTACTACAATAACGATATTCAGAACTATTATCTGAAATGAAAACAATATTTAGAATATACTATAAATATGTAATAAGAATGAAAATCGTAAAAGGAAATCGAAATTTATAAAACATTCTTTATATTTTTTCTTTTCTCAATGCATATACAACTAAAACTGCATTAGTAATGTTAGTTATAATTGGTGTTCGACATCTTCTCCTTGGTTTTCTGATGATGATGATGATGATCTATCTTTATTTACTGTTCGTTTTTGTTGAGCTCTTAATTGTCCTGAATTATAATAATGATGATGTTGATAATTTTTTTCACGTGAAATGGTTTTGGTGTTTGTGTACGTTGATCAGGTTTTTGAATCATTAGTGCTGGTAATGGTGAAGGTTCATGTGAATGTTTTTTGACAGGTAATGATAATGCTGGTTGTTGATTTGATCTTAATGATTAAATCGAGTCTGAAAGTGATTTATGTGAACCAAATGGTGTATTTGTTCGGGAACGATTTGCTGTTAAAGGCATTGCCTTAATACTAACATCGTTTTCATCATCACCATGATCATCATCTTGATCAGGTGAATAAGAACGTAATGATGTTGGTGGTGGATAAGAATTTGGAAAAGCACTGGCTTGCTGATATGACAGTGAAATATTAACAGAAGTTTGACGATATGATGAATGTGAACTTGCCATTGGTGATGGGCGACGTGGAACTGGTGGAGATTGACTTGTACTACTTTCGGCTGATTCAACCAAATGTGATGTCGAGGATAAATCACCTTTTAAGACTTCACGTTTATATTTTTTCGAATTATCCACTGATATGTTACTTCTATGATTCCAAACAGTTCCTCCTTGTTTATTAAAATACATAATAAAGAATAAGAAAAATATTCTAGTTCGTTTCTTCTTTTATTTTGAGAAAAATATCAACTTAGTCATTGCATATTTTCTCAACTAAAATCAAAGAGAAGGATTTTAAATAATTCATTAAAAGAAAGAAACAACAAATACATACTACTTGTAGAACGTTTTTCAGTAGCATTTGTTTTACGAAGTTTTAGAAAGATAATAGCAGCAATTACAATAGTGACAAGAAGAAGAAGTACAATACCATCAATACTTAGTCCAATGATCATGGGAACTTTATAAGATTCTAAATACAAATCCACACTTCTTTTTAAACGCTAAACTAAAAATAAAGTGAACTTACTTCCTCGAGTTCGATCTGTACTTGAACCTGTTTTCAATTCACAAGATGCAGGTAATCACAGACAAAAAGAAAAGAAAATGATTTAAAATGAAAATGATGTGAAAAAAAAATAAGACACGGGGGACAAGACAATATGATCATGCCAAACAACTAAAATGAATAGCATAATTGTATGGGAAAGCAATAGATATGTGTTCTTACTGTCATTTTCTCTCTGACTTATACCAGAAGTACTTGCCTAAACATAGATTTAGTGTATATAGATCAAAATACAGGGTGGCCCAAAAGTCATGTTAATATTCTTTTGTTTTTTTGATCATGATTAAATTCAATACTTTGATTCTTGATTGATTTTGTTTTCAATATGAGAGATGGAATATTTCAATAAATTCCATTCTTATTTTCTTATATTTATAAATAAATTGAATTTTATTCAGATTAAATTCTTTGATAAACTGATATAAAACAAAAAACAAACATGAAATAGATAATCATAAGTTAAAGTACAAGACTATACATGTAAAAAAGAAAAGAAACACACACACACACACTGTTAAACAGATAGTAATAGTAATAAAATCTACCAATTCAAAAGTAAAAAAAAAAACATTGTAAAAACAAAAATTGCATTATTTATATTCATGACAATTACGAGAGCATGAAAAAAAAAGCAAATTCATCTGAACAAGAAGAGCCTTAGTTTAACTAAAGATAGATGTATTAAATATAACGATCACGTTGACGAAGATAACAAAGTAGACCAAGAGCAGCAACGATACAAAAGCCCTAAAAAAAAAAGAACATATCAATGATTAACTTCTGATACAGTAAAACTTAGGAACTATTAAAAAGCGTTTACTATAGGGACGTATTCAATTTAGAGAGTTGATATATTGCGTTTGCTTTTGTGTTATTTGTCTTTTCTACTTTTGAAATAATATTGATGGCATTTTATATTTGATTCAAATTCATTAATTAATTTAATTTTTCTCTTGCAAAGTAAACTCGTATTGTGACTATCATTCTTTTCTTTATATGTAGAGCATCGTGGATAATATGTATTTTTTCTTAGTTGATAAGAAATGCTAGATGTCATTTCATTACGAAAAAGATTAAGAAAAGTAGATAGATTGTTGAAATAAAAAAATTCGTTTTCTTATAACTCTAAGAATCTTCAGTAAAATTCTTTTTATGATAACAAAAACTTTACAATCAACATTTGAATATAATGGGTAGACCATAAATAATAGATCTCTCAGTAGTTTGCATATATTTCGATAATATTAAAATGCAAAGAAGCAAATTTTTTTTTAACAAGATACATCTTTTAATTCTCTACAATCTTACATATTTCAATTGATTCAATTAGAATTCGTTACTATGAAAATTGTAGATTCGAATGAGCTATAAATATACTCTGAAAAGAGTTTATCCTTTTAGCTTATTGCTACAGACATATTGCACTTTTAAAAATATTTTTTTAAATGTTGTGATTCAGAAAAATTGATTTTCGAATTTTGATTTGAAACTTGCCATGGAGACCTCCTCAATACAATTTACCACTTAGATGGTAAGAATTTCAGTCTGATAAACCGAGCTTCGGGCTTGTTTTTATAGCTTCTAAGAGAATCGAAATAATTCCATCGTTATAAGAGGTACTGAATTTTGAAACTTTCTTTCATTTATTTTTTTATAACGATTTTAGTGAACATGATGTTCAAAACAAGATGACTCTCTCGACAGTAAATCCCAATTTTCTCAGTCCAGAAATCAAATATAAAAAATCCAGAGCCGGATGGGAGTTATTTCAATTCTCCTCTCTGGAAACTATATTTTGAGAAAAAAACTAAAGTTTTAGAAATGAATTTTTTCATTCAAATTCAGAAAAAAAAAATATTACAATCGCATATTTTTAAGCACATAACAGATGGAGATAGCTAACGCCATCTATCATGCTGGTTAACATAAAAATATTCTCTTCAATGTTGATCCAAGTGACAACAGAGTTTTTCCGAAATAGAACAACTTTACAGAAAAACCACAAAAATTTCTCCGAAAACATGGTGGTACAGTCAACGTTTCCTCTGACAAGTCTATAAAAATCTAGTCATTTTGCAAAAAATTACATATTCTGAAGGAGACCACTGCAGGAATAAGCTAAGGGTTTGAATTCTTTTTTTAGGGTATTCATAGTTGGAAGACTTCTCTTGTCAGACCAAAAAGTTTTGGGTCCAGTAGGTTTTAATCCTTGTTAAACATTTAACCTACTGATTAACTTACTTCAACAAATACAAGAACAAAAGCTAAAATTCCAACAATCATTAAATTTCGATTAATTTCCATTTGAATCATATTGAAACATCCCTAAAACAAACGACTTCTTATAATCCAAAAAAAAAAAATCTTCTATTCTAACATACATCAATATAAATTAAACCATAAGTTTCATTAGCAGCAATTTGTTTTCCACAACCATTTGTTTCTTCAATACAACATGAATCTGGTACATATGGTTGTCCAGTCCATACATCAGCATTAAACCAATCTTGATATTGATCAACACCACAACAGTGAAACTAAATAGAAATTCAATATTTTATTTTTGTAAACTAAATAAAACTTCTATAAAAATTTTCTACTCGTTTCTGTATTGAATTCATTGTTTTACGAAAATTATTTTCATCAGCACCTTCATCACCTGGATATTGACGAATATTTTCAAGTAATTCTTTTCGTGCAGTCATTGCTACCTTAAATATAAAAGCAAAATATTCATAATTTTCTTTCACAAAAAAAAAAAAAAAAAAATTTTACTCGTTCATTAAAAGCAATAACAAATACAACACCAAGTAATAAGGCCACGAAAATAACTATCATTGTTATAATATACTTTAATAAAAAACAAAAAAAAACAATCAAGAATTAAAACAAAAGAATTTTTATTTACAATGAATAATAAAATTTTCTTTTCAAACCATGCACCAATACATCCAATAGCACCAAGTAACATAGAAAATTTTGCTAAAAAAAATTTCAAATAATATATACATGAAAATGAAAAAAAAATTTAAATTTATAAACCTGAAATAATTAATATAACAGGTGCTGTAAATAATTGATTTTTCATTAATGGTCGATAATCAACCGATTTTATATGTAACCACCAACTACAAACGACAACAGCAAATCCCAATGCCTAAAATTTTTCTATTATTTAAATATTCATTTATTAAAAATTAAGGTTTTTTAACATACAAAAAAAAACATATTAACTATTGTAAATACACAACGAAATACCATGTAAGTTGATGACATTCTCAATCTGTTAATTATTGACTATAAACTGATCGGATCAATCAATAATACAATGTATCCGATGAATGAATAAATAGTATGTAGAAAGATGATAGATGTCAGACTTTCTTTTTTATTATTATTTAGAAATATAAAAGATAACATATGATTGGTTACTTTGTTTTTGTCTTACATCAACAGATATAAACTGAAGAACAAAAATAATATTCAAAAAAAAAACTTCTTCGAGCTAGATCATGTCGGAAACAGTTATTGATGAAAATTCATCATTAAATGGTGTAACAACAATAACAGACACAAATTCATCAGTCAAAGAATCCGGTGTTAATAATGAGAATGAAGAAACATGGTTATATGGAAAACAAAAGGTTGAAGAAAATATGTAAGTTCTTGCAACTTGTGATTTTTTTTTTCGTAATTTTGTTATTTTAAGTGATAATACAACAGCACCATCAATCGATGAAATAACAACACAGGAAATTGATGCTAGAGTATGTAGAAAAATATCGGTTTGTTTTTTAATAAGAAGACTTTATTCGTAAATAAAAGTTCGAATTTTTGGAATATATGACTGTGTTTGGTCTTGTTAAAAAATATAATACGAGAGAATTACCCGAATTAATATTCATCATTTGAGTTCACAAGAAGATCTTGATAAGAGTAGAAAAGTCCTAAAAAGATTCGTTCCTGTAGAGTCAGTCGAGTTATAACCGTTTTAGCCGAAAAAAAAAATATTTGAATTTTCAAGTGAACTTGATTTTTGTAGCAAATGAAAATTCAATATCTTGATAAAGGAACATTCTTTTTGATTGAAACTTTTAGGACATTCTATTACTCATTGGACCTTTTTATCGGTGAAATTTCATAAAAATAGTTATATCGTGTTGTATACTTTTATAGTCTTCGTTTATCTATAATTTCTCTTCTAAGTAGAATTTCAAATATTGAAGTTCAAGAATTGATTATAAGATTATGAAAAACGATAGAAAAATGTTTTGATGTTATTAAGCCGCAGGCTATTGGAAAGAAGACGAATAAAATATACTTATTGACTTCTGATAGAGAAATGATAGAAAATAAGTATAAATATTTTTGAATTTGATATCGATGGATTCATTATTTCATTTATTTTATAAAATATATTCGATAACGTATAAGAGATAGTGCAAAAATTTTGCATTAATTTTATTTTCAGTATAGTGTGATAACAACTCGTTGTGAAGAGTCGATAGTTTGCTTATTAGAAAGAACATAGTTTATTTTTGCAAAGGGCTCATTAAACTTGGAATTTCGATTGCTGACAAAAAAAAGAGTCTTATTTTTCGCTAGTAAAAACTATTAGAAAAATATCGATTTCAAAATTCTACAAATGTGCAGAGAACTTTTTTTTTCCAGTTAAACATATTCTTAAAATTTTTTGTTTCTACATAGGAAAAAGCAGCAATACCATCAACAATAAATCCAACAACATCATCATTAATCGGTAGTCAATTAGATGATGATTCTGATGATGATGATGATGGAATTCAAGTTACTATTCGTAATATTAAATCGGGTACATCAATTTTTCCACCAAGTCGACAAAATAATCGAACATCAATACCATGTAAATAAATATTCGACTTTTTTTTTTAAACATGTTTAATTTTTTTTGTTTCAAATATCTAGCGGGTCCAGTCATCCCAACAAAATCACAGACAACACGTAATATTGATTTAGATGCTCAAGGTATTATTAATGGACAACCAACATATGAACATGATTTAATGAATGCATATAAAGATGATGAAAAACCATGGAAAAAACCAGGTTCGATAAAAAAAACAACATTCTTGAATTATATATCGTTCAAAGTTGTTCTTTTTTTTTCTTAGGAGCGGATATTACTGATTATTTTAATTATGGTTTTACTGAAGAAACATGGGCACAATATTGTGATCGACAACGTCGTTTACGTTCAGAAAATAATTTGGCTCGTCTTAATGCAGCTCATGTAAAAGAATCTTGCCGAATAAGATGAACAATTTTCATTTGCAAAAGCTATTTATATCGTTTTGAAGAGAAATTATTCAGTATTTCTTCGAAGCAACCTACTTTAATAAGGGTCTTGTACGATTTTCAATCGTGTATATTTCATAATAGCTTTCTTTGTATCGAAAAGCCTTCGCACAAGTTTTTCAGAAACTGTTACGATACTAATTGATTGTCTTCTAAATTTTTGTGTGTCGACCAATCAATGCCTACAAACAATCAACTTTTTGAGGGAAAAAAATTTTTTGCTTCCGGACCAATGGAGAAGGATACGGGAGTTTATGCAAAATTTTTAATTCTCATAAGAGATCGAATCTAAAATAGTAAAAAAAAGTTTAGAAACAATGATTTTCTCCATAATGTTAAGCGCGTAGCTCCAATCCAAATAGTGATTTTAATACCCAATAGAGTTTTCTATCTAATACACTTTATAGCAAGATGAACAATAATGGCAAGGCGCCTAAAAAAAACTGAACATAGTATTTTTCATGTTCTAGAAGACTTTGTCAGAGATATTTTTGAACGGTGCTATCTTAAAGAGCACAACATTCTGAGTAAAATCAGGGGTCGCCGAGTTTTCTGCGGCCTTCTCATAAAAAGTTACAAGCATTACAAAAATCATGAAAAAACGAAATTTTTTTAAAAATCAACTAAAAACGCCTTTTTCATGACTTTTGTGATGCTTGTAATTTTCTATGAGAAGCTGATAGAAAACTCGGCGACCCCTCATTTTGCTCAGGATTTTGTGCTCTTTCAGGTGGCACCGTTCAAAAATAGCACTGGCAAAGTCTTCTAGAATCTGACAAATACCGTGTTCGATTTTTTAGGAGCCTTGCCATCATTGTTCATCTATGAAATTTTGCTATAAAGTGTATTGGATTGAAGCTACATGCTTAACATTATGGTAAAACTCGTTGTTTCTAAACTTAACGGTATCGATAGCTTTTCAAATGAAGAATGTTCAATCTTATCTGACAAGGTCCTTTAAAAATTTTTATATAAAATTTTATTTAGATTCCACCAATGCCACAAATGTTGCCCGTTCATCCTCCAATGGTACATCAAATGAATCCTCATCCAGCTATGATTATGAATAAACCACCAATAAATATGCCAATTGTACCACGACCATTTATGAATGTGCGAAAACAAGATGGAAAAATTGATGTTATTGGTTAGAATAAATTTTATTTTTTTAATTAAGATTAATTTTTTTTAATTTTCTATTTCAAGGTGCTACTGATCAAACATCCCGTCGACAAATGTTTGATGCACCAAATGCATTTGAACATCCACCATTTATGAATGGACCTCCATTGTATGTGTTTTGTTTTTTAAAATTTACAATTTTTTTTTTAATGATTTTCTTTTCGATCATGATTAGAGATATGTTGTTTATAGTCACTAAAATAAAATAAAAATTTAACTACAAATTTTAGTTCTGATTCGAATAACTTTCTGTATTGATCAAAGCTTAGTTTATATCTATTAAGTTAATTTGACAGGCTGACGAGAGAACCTCCTGAGATGTTTCATTCCGTTTTCAATGATTTTTTTGCCTATAGGTACTAGATAGTATCCATAAGCAAAATAGGACATTTGAGAAGATTTCCTCATAAGTACGAATTAGAAGAATTTATTTGATATTATCTTTAGTTCTGGTGGTCAACCACCTAGTGGTCAAACAGTTGGTGATTTGGTTACTCCACCACCAGTATCAAATGGTCCTGCACCACAACATGGAACACCACCTGGTGGTAGTCATCCTATACCAACACTTGGTGCACATCGATTACCTATGATGCCTCCACCACCTGGTATGCAGTTTCGACCTCCATTTGGTCATCCACATGCGCCTGGTGCACCTCCATTTTTTCCTCATGGACCTGGTGCTCCCATGCATGGCGAAAGGTAAAAATTATTTTTTTTTTAATTCATCAAATTGCATATTTGAAATTTAATTTAGACCACCACAACAATACTTTCTACCTCATCATCCACAACAACCATGGGAGAAGTAAGTTGTTGTTTTTGTTTTTTGTTTTTCTCATATTAATTATTTCAATTAAATTATATTTATCAATAGACCTGGTATGCCTCCTGTACATGGTTTTCCACCTGGACATTTTCCTCCTCAAGCACCTGTACCAACTAATACTGGCAATGGACGACCACCATCTAGTCGAAGTCCAACACCTGAAGATCATTCACCACGTAGTTCAACACCAGAAGAAAATCGTCCTAGTGGTGGTAATGGTGGTGATAATGAAAAAACATCAAAAGATGATCGATATAAAGATAGATATCGGTATTTAATGAGAAAAATATTTTTACAACAACAACAAAAAAAAATAATATTATTTTTGGTTTTTTTTAAGAGATGATCGTGATCATTATTCAACAACACGTCGTCGTTCATCACCAAAAGATCGTTCATCATCATCATATCGTTCACGTCATCGAAGTGGTGATCATGAATATGAACGACCAAGAGGTGATCGAAAATCATCACGTGATCGTGATGATAAATATGAACGTTATTCACGAAAGTAATTTTGTTTTTTGTTTTTTGAAATATTTTATTTCCAAAAATTTTTATTTTTTCTCATTCTTAAAGACGACATCATCGAGAAGATAGTGGACGTCATCATCGTGGTGGTGATGATGATTCATCACGTAGTCATCGTTCATCACGACGTACACCAACAAAAAATTTTTCTTCACCACCAAAAATTCTTGGTACTAGTAACAGTCAACTTTCATCAACAGAATCTAATCAAACCTTAACGGAAAATCCAGAATCAACTGAAAATGATCAAACATCAACAACAACAACAACAACAACAGCAAATATAACTGTACCATCATCATCATCATCACCAAATAGTCGATCACGTCGTGATGATTCCGAACGTTCATCTTCACGTCATGGTCATCATAAAAAATCTTCAAAACGATCGCGGCGTGATAGTGGTGATGAACGTAGTCATCGTAGACATTCAAAAGATAAATCTAATAGCAGTAAAAAAACAACAACAACAACAACAAATCAAACAGAAGCTTCATCTGATGTTAAAGAACAAATAAATGACTAACATATATTTCATGTTTTCTTTTTTTTTTTTTTGTCATGTAAATTTCTTTTTCTATTGTTGTCTATCGATTCTCTGAATATCTTGGAGAAACAAACAGGATATACGTATTAAATAGATATAATTGTTCTAGATTATTATTATGGCTAGTTCATATGCTGAATCAGTTCTTAAAGATCTTAAATTAAAAGATAATAATAATATTTGTTTTGAATGTGGAGCATTAAATCCACAATGGGTATCTGTTTCATATGGTAAGATATGAATTAAGAGAAAGATAGATAGCGATTTTTAAATTGAAAAAAAAAAACAAAATCTTTGCTTCTTACATGGAATAAATCGCACTTAACAAAATTTTATTCATCGTTGATCTGTTTAATAACACAGAATATATATTTAATTGATGATGATAAGAAAATTAAATTTTAATGAGAAATAATTTTTGTATTAGATTTAGTAGACAAAATTTATTTAAAAGCTTTTTTTTTCATATTTTAAATTTTGACTTTAGAGTTTCAAATTTTCCAATGCTGAATCTGATTCGAATGAACTTTGAACTACATCACAAGAAAGAGCACGTTTTAGATTACTCATAAACATCTCTACTTTTCTTTTTACTATCCCTAGAGAATTTGAAAACGTTCTCAAATTTATAAAATAAAATAGTATAGAAATGAACATCATAGAGACCTGTGGTTCAAAAACCTTCACCCAGAACTCATTTGATTGATCGATTGCTGATTAATCAAATTTCGATGCCCCCCCCCCCAATCTTTTCTCTTGAATGATGAAAATCGCAGGTCTCTATGATGTTCCTTTCACAAAACATTAGAACACATTATTTTTCTCAAAATTTAATTTCAAATTCCAAAAAAAAAAAAAAATATTTCATTTTCATAGGTATTTTTATTTGTCTTCAATGTTCTGGTAAACATCGTGGATTAGGTGTTCATTTATCATTTGTTCGTTCAATAACAATGGATAAATGGAAAGATATTGAATTAGAAAAAATGAAAGTTGGTGGAAATCGTCAAGCAAAAGAATTTTTTTCAAATCAATTAAATTATAATTTTAATACAATGAATTTACAACAACGTTATGATTCACATGCAGCTGCACTTTATCGTGATAAAATTAATACAGAAGCACATGGTAAAATTTGGTCAATTAATTCTTCATCAGTATTAAATGATACTGATAAATCATCATCTGAAATAAAAAATTCTTCATCAGATTGGACAGAATTTAAATCATCAGAACAACATGATAATGAACAAGAATATCCTTCTGATCTTGACAGTAATAATCCAAAATATAGGGATTTTGGAAATACAAATTCTACAGTATCATCTCAACATCAATCAACAAATCCTAATTTATTAGTATCATCAATTTCAAATATGAGTATTAATGCTGCTAAATGGGCAAATGTTACTAAAGATTCTATTTTAAAATTTTCTAAAACAGCTACTGAAAAAGCAACTGAATTAACATCAAAAGTGACCGAACAAGTTAAAGATCGAAGTTTACTTACAAATGTTCAATCAAGTGTAACAAATCTAGCATCAACAATGAGTAGGTTAAGTACAAAAACATGGTCTGATATGCAATTATTATGGTCAGAAAAAGATTATCATTCAACAAATCAAAATAATTCAGATAATGTAAATTTTAACATGAAAAATATTTAGAATTAATTTTTTTTTTATAGAATGATTGGTCATCTTCTGATCAACAATCATCAACAATAACATATGAGAATAATTTTACTAATCAAAATATTTCTAATGATTTATCAAATCACTCAAATGAACAGTCCAAATCAAATAGTAATCTTCCAGTATATAATCATGATCAAAATTTTCAATCATGGTTTAATGATGAAGTAAAGATGAAATCGACTAATGTCAATATTCCAACTTCTCCTTCGAAAAAAATTGATTCTACAAATATATCGGTTCCGGTGAAAACTAAAGATAAACCGATACCAAATCTTATTGATTTTGATGATGACGATGGATGGAAATCAATCGATAGAAACTAAAAGAAGAGTCTATTTTTTTTTCATATTTCCATTGTGAATTAATGATTCTTCATTTATTTTCTTTTGATATAAATTTCTTTTATTCTCTATATATGTTTGTGAAAATTTTATACTGGCCATTTTAATTGTTATTTTGATGATATATAAATATATGTTTTTCTTTTTCTCATATTTTCACAGAAAATAAAAATGATAATTGTCGTATTAATACTTTAAAATAATAAATAACGAAATTATTTTCGTTATATTTACTATATTGATCTAAACACTTTAACAAATTCAAAGATATGGTTCAATTCAAAATATACTAAATCTGCACCTGATAAATCATTTTTTTTTTACGTAGATAACTCATAAGAAAAAAACTAGTTGATATGCCTTTTCTTATCATATTCAATTATTAGTAGTATACTGACGTACATTAGAGTGATGTTGATATCGACAGCTGTACCAATTTACAGACAACAAAAAGAAAGGTCTTCTTTAAAAAAAAATGCTTTTAGAGAGAGAGAGAGAGGGAGAGAAGCATGTTTGCTCTTTTCACATCGGTAGTATATAAAACGAAAATCAAAAAGGGTGTGGCACCTGGTATTCAGCCAGAATACTAAATCAAGCATATTATTTTCGTCTTATCTTGCAGATATTCATTTACTGAAAATACACATCTATCGGGTTATTTTATCAGATTATACTTAAATACATACGTATATGTATTTCGTTTTTAAAAAAAAACCTCGTGACATAGGTCACATCATCAGATATACGCATATTCCATTGAGAGGTAGTAGTATATAGATAAAATAAATATTGATATACATAGTTTTACTAAAAACAGTAGTCGAATCGCATTGAAAAGTAGAGAGAAAGTACAGATAGAAGATTCTTAGAATAGATATTTTCTCTCAAAGTATTTTGACTTACCTATAGAAATATATATCTAATATTTAAGGTTATTCGTTTTTTTTTGATTGCTATCGTTTATTATATTTCTTGTCTTCCATGAATACATGATATCGAAGTAATTAATCACTAACTCATACCAATCCAATACTCTTGAGTTTCATCATATCGTCTTTTTTTTTTTATTTCATTATAGTTCCATGAGATTTTATTCGTGAATAAAAAAAAAATTCTTGTATTATTCCAATTTTCTTTAGAGCAAAAAATTTTTGTCGATAAATTAAATAAAAAAGAAAAATGGCTTGCCCTTATGCACGACCTGTCGAACATCAAAATGAAACATCAACAGCAACTGATAAATTAACTATAAATGGTTCCGTTAATAATGAAGCTCTTGCAGAAATTCTTTCTTTAACTGGTTATGGTTCAACAAGTTCAGTTCAACCTGAATTAAAACGTTTACCATCAAGTGATGAATTAGTAACTTATAGTAATTATTTGCAATTAAATAAACTTCTCGATAGTCAACTATTATTAAGTTCAAAACTTGATCAAAATAAAAGTACTATACATGATGAACATTTATTTATAATTATACATCAAAGTAAAATGAAATTTGTTTTTTTTTTATTATAAATAAATAATAATAATAATAATATATTATTTTGATTAGGTTTTGAACTTTGGTTTAAACAAATTATTTGGGAAATTGATTCTCTTCGTTATATATTTATTAATAATATTATGGATGAAACTCATATGTTTGTATCAATAAATCGTCTACAACGATGTGCTCAAATTTGGCATCTATTATGTGATCAAATAAGTATTTTAGAAACTATGACACCACTTGATTTTATGGAATTTCGTTCATATTTATCACCGGCTAGTGGTTTTCAAAGTTTACAATTTCGATTAATTGAAAATAAATTAGGTTTAACAGATAAATTACGAGTTGTTTATAATCAAGTTTCATATAAAAATGCTTTTCCAAGTGAATCTGAACAAAGAGAATTAATTAATTCAATAGAACAGCCAACATTACTCGTACTTGTTGAAGTAAAATAAAATTGTTTGAATAAAATAAAAATAAAAAAAAACTCAAATGATTATTGTTTTTTTTCTATTTAGCGATGGCTTGAACGAACACCTGGTCTTGAAGATTCAAATTTTAATTTTCGTGAAGGATACAAACGATCAGTTGTTCAATATATTAAATTTCTTCAAACAAATGCTGAAGTAAAACAAAAAAAAATTTGTTTTTCTTTTTATAGAAAAATTTTTCTAATTTGTTTTTTTTTTTAAGAGTGAACCAAATCCAACAGCACATGATGCAGCTATTGAAGATGTAAAGAAAACGGCTGATACATTTCGATCATTAATTGATGAAAGATTTCATCAACAATTAGTAGCAAGAGGTGAACGACGTATGAGTCATCGAGCTTTACTTGGTGCACTTATGATCATGCTCTATCGAGAACAACCACGTTTTCAAGTTTGTTGTATTTTTGTTTATTTAAAAAAAAATACAAAATTAGAAAATCTATTTTATTAGGGTCCTTATCAAATTTTATCATTATTGATGGATATTGATGCACTTATTACTAAATGGCGATGTAAGAATGATTAACTTTTATCAGAGATTACTGAAAATTTCTTTATAGATAATCATTTAATACTTGTTCAACGACAAATTGGTAATAAACAAGGTACAGGCGGTTCAGCTGGCTATAGTTATTTACGATCAACTTGCAGGTTTGATTAAACTTAATGATTTAATGTTTAAAAAAACAAAAAATTTTAAATTTTTTAGTGATCGTTATAAAATCTTTATTGATTTATGTAATCTAGCATCATTTCTTATTCCACGTGAATTTATACCAAAATTAACAAGTGCAATGAGATTACGTTTATCTATAGCTAGTGTTGATGGAATACTCGATGAAGAAAATGAATGTCAAACACCAGACACAAATTCCGAAGAAAGCAATTCCATCTCTACTGATTAATTTGATTCCATACAACAACAAAAAAAATAATAATAATAATAAAATAGAAACTAAAATCTACATCAAATTTTTTGATTTCATTTTTCTGAGATGCAAAAAAATATCTTTTTTCTTTGTTTTTTGAACATCTCTCATTTGCAGTTGTATCATTTTACTTTATTCTTGCGCTTAATGAATAAATGGAAAAGCATATATTTCATAATAATAATCAATCATTAAAAAAAAAAAGAACTAATAAAAACAACTGGCATGCACTGTGTCAAAAAAAAAACACCAGGTCAATTCATTTACATAGATAAAGCACATAAAAAGAAAATACTGTAAATAATTCAATTTGCATGAATGAATTCATCGGAATTTTTTTTTGAAATTCATTTACACTAAAGCAGTTATTTGTAAATGTAGTATTTACAGAATAAAATTATCTATGGATGAAATACAACATAACGGTTAATAGGTACACTTTTGTATAACGACACGCTTTAGCATCAGCTGTACTATTTTCTCATGGTATACTTCGTTTTATCTACTTTTGCTTTGCTCTATATCTATAGCCTGTATGACGAAAGAACGACATAGATCCAGTAAGCATCGACGATTTTCAGTACTATTAAAAGAAAAAACAAAAGCAGAAAATGTCCTTTTATATTTTACATTTGTCATGCTATTGTTGCATACATTCTTTTGTTACAGTATTGTATAATAGTCTTCATTCATACGATCCTTAGCTATCAAAAATATTCGTATGGATTTATTTCGCGAAAGATGTACACGAGCTTATCTTGATTGCTCAAATATGAAAGACGCCTATTTTTGCTTCAAACCTTTTTAATTAGAAAAAAGCTGTCTACTGTATTTTTGAATATACAATTCGATGTTCTTTGTTGGAATATTGATGTCTCTGAATGTTTTCAAATCTTCGATAACAATGTAATAATTATTTGCATGACATTTTCATTGTTTGTTTTTAATGAGATTTGAAAATAGAGAAGAGGAACTTATGCCTTTAAACTACATCGTAGATGGAATATATACATCCAAATTTTCCAATCTTCAGTATATGTAGCGTTCTTAGCTAAAATCAAGTTCTATCTGGAATCGTAATTAGTTTTGTTGGAGTCGATTATAGTACAAATTGCGACAGATTTTACCTGATTATTAATATTTTTTTTTGGAATAATTAGCGTTTTTCTCCTGGATGGCTTAGGATTTTTGGAAAAGCAACTGCTGCTATTGATATAGCTCATCGGTATGCTGTAGAGAGGCCGAAAGCAACAATATCGAAAATTCTAGCTAAGAAGATATTTTTTATTTTTCGAGATAAGGGGGTCTGGGTTCTAGCCTTCTCTTCACCTACACTCAAGTGCATGTCCCATACGTATGTTTTTCGTTTCGATATTTCTACGGCCAATCCTGTCTTAAGATATCCTATGTAAGAAATTGGTTTGAAATAAAAGCAGTTGTTAGTTTTTTTAAAGAATTTAAATAATT